GGGCCCTCCCAGCCTCTCCACGTAAGCCTCCCCTCCCCACCTGCCTGGCCGCGGCCTCCCCTCCCCCACGGCATCCTCCTCTGTACCCTCTCCCTCTCTGTCCTCTCACAAGTCCTCCCCTCTCTCTCCATCCCTCTCGGGCTTTCTCCGCTCCTGTGCTCCCAGTCACCCCTCTCCCTGTTTCCTCAGTCTCCTCGAACTCCCTCTCCCCCTCCCCTGGCCAGGCCCCCTGCCCCATCCCATCCCGCCCTGTCCCCTTTGTGCCCCTTCCTCTCTCTCTCTCTCCATCTCTGTCTCCCTCCCTGGCTCGCTGTCCCTTCTCCACCTCTGACTCCCTCCAGCTCGGCCTCCCTGCCCCTCCCCGACCGAGTCCTGAGCCACCATGCTGACCCCAATGGTGGCTGGGGGGGTGGTGTTCCCCGGACTCTTCCTCCTCTCCAAGAACACGCTCCAGAGGCTGCCCCAGCTGCGCTGGGAGGAGGCCGACGCGGTCATTGTCTCAGCCAGGTAAACTGCACCCCTTCCGCTCAGCCCCCTCCCCTTCTCAGGCTTTGTGGGGATGGAGGGTACTCCAGCACTTCCCTGCACCCTTACCCTGGGGGGGCTGGGGGCCCCTGCAGTGGTCAGTGGGCTTTCCCTCCACGCTTCTTCCCTGCTCACCACCCTACTCACTGTCCCAGGAGACCTCGTCCAAAGCAGCCATCTGGTCTACTCGTGTTCAGACTCCTTTGCTTTCTCCCCCCACCCCCACCCCGTTCACCCTCCCACCCTCTAAAATATGGCCAGAATGTGACCAATACATTTCTATAATATGGTTTAGAGGACAAGGCGGGGGGGCAGAGAGCCATGTGTTATCCAGGGTGAGTGTTTGGGGACAAGGGACAGGAATGGTAGAACTCTGTCCAACCCTGGAAGAAGAGCCAGAGTTGGAGAGAGAGCAAAGTGGCAGTCAAGGAGAGGGGGGAAGTGGCGGGGAGCCCAAGGTTGCCCCCAAGGGGCCAGAGTGCTGACCTGAGCGAGGACCGGACCGAGGACAGGCAGGACAAGGACGGGCGGCTGAGTGGTGTGCAGTGGGCGAGGGCTCCCGGGTGCGGCGCCCAGGAAGAGGCCTTGTTCTCAGCATCGCCTCACCTCGGGCTGACCTCCCTGGTGTCCTTCTGCGAGGACGGTGACTCGGTATCCACAAAGCGAGGGTAGAGGGCAGGGAGAAGGGGGTAAGCTGAGGAACAGCAGCTGGACAAGTCCAGGAACCCTGAGGGGGCAGTGATGGGGTGATAGCTGGCAAGTCCAGCCTCGGTCAAAGGAGGGTGAGGACTGGATGGCCCTGGGGAGTGACCGAGCCCCAGATACAGTAACTCGACAAGTAAAGAGGAATCGAGGCTCATGTCTCTTGCACGACCACTCTCCCTCTTTGTCCCTAGGCTAGTGTCTTCTGTCCAAGCCATCATGGCCTCCACAGCTGGCTACATCGTCTCCACCTCTTGCAAGCACATCATTGATGACCAGTAAGTGCCACGCCGCCGTCTCTGCCCCGTTCCAGCAATGTGTGTGTGACCCTGGACTACCCCACACCTCCTAGGGAGCTCCAGTGGTCCCCAAGCCTTGAACATGGGCCTGAGGAAGTTAACTGCAGTAGCTGCAACTCAACACCCAGGGATAAATTTATCCTGTCCTGTCCTTAAAGGTCAGAGCTGGGGAGAAGACGTGGGGATCAAGGGACTCTTCAAAGCACTTCCTGGTTGGCTCCCCGGCCTCGTATTGTGGTGGGTTCTGAGTGCTGCTTCTTCCCCTGCCTCCTCCCACCTTTACAGCCCTCAGACCCCATTTCCAAGCAGTACCCAACTGGGAGGCTTCTTGCCCCATGCTGGGCTCACCCCTCACCTCCCCCCAGAATCCAGGTGTCCAGCCCCAGCGCTGCGCACGAGGGAGGAGAGAGCGATGACACAAACAAGGCCACCGACGGTCAGGCGGTGGGGGAGGGGAGGAGGGTGAAGAGGCCAGGATTTGGCACTGGCAGCTGCTGCAGTGCTCGTCGCTTGCCAAAGAGGCGCAGGCCTGCGAGGTGGGGCGAGGAGAGGGGCCCTGTCCGTGGTGCTGACGCGCGCTCGTGGTGACCACACTCCGAGTCGCTGGCGACGCCCCCTCTCCTAGCTTCTGGCCCTGCTCCTCTTCTCTGGCGGCCACCGAGCCACGGATTTGGATGACCCTGCTCTAGAGGGGCCCCCTGCTCT